CTCGTAGGCCTGCTATTTCGCTCCCACCCATCTTCACCCTCTTTCTGAAACCTAATGCGCAGAAAAGCTTTAACATTCCGATTCCGGCACAGCGCCCCCAGCACAGCCCGCTCAGGAGGCCTGGGCAGGGGTCCAGGAATCTGTCCTTAAACAACCTCCTCAGGTGATTCTGGGCAGATGTCCCCAGCCCCAGGGGCTCCCCATGGAACAAAGCCAGACCTGGTGGAAGGTGGGAGGTGCCAGAAAATGGATTGTGGCAAAGCTGTCTGGGGCTGAGGGGAGGTGAGGAATGAGGGGCCCACCCCCACGTCTCAGGGGCAGCTCGCAGGGTGGCTCTGTGATGGCCAAGCTGCGTGGAATGGCCGGGCCGGATGACACCAGGTCAGGGAGCGCTGCTACAGAGACCAGGGAATCCTGTCCAGAGAGCACAGACGAAGCTGAAAGGTCGGCTTATCTAAAGGCCATCCAGGTTGGAGGAAACTGGTTTTAAGTGTCCTCAGCCCTAAGGCATATGCACGCCCACAAAATAAATGGGAGCACAAAGTCTTCACAAAATTTTCAAACCCCTGACCATACATTTTTGTTAAGAGTATGAGCTTCCTCCACCTTAGAAAGCCTTGGGAGAGAGGTCTGTTTAGACAGCTTTCTAAGTAGTCTTCCCTCCCAAGTCAAAAGAGGCTATTTTACAGGTTTTCTGCTTTTCAAGCCCAGCCTGACCCCACAGACTGCCCAGCCAGATTCTCCACCCAGATCCACAGCCGGAGGAGAGGCCTGGTTCCCCGTTCTGCATGACAAAGGGCAGCTGCCTCCTCCTGAGTCCCTTGTAAAGTCTCCCAATCCACAGTCGCCTTCTTCTTTGGCCTCTGGCTAATTGCCCCATTATTTTATTTCCCCAGCAAAGCTCTTCAGTCCACCTGGAATCCACATTCAGGACCTGGAGCCTGTGTCCAGGAAGCCACAGGGGTCTGGGGGATTTGGCCTCTGTCTGCTTCTCCCGCCTCCCCGTCCAGCCCAGCTCAGATCCTGGCTTCAGGGAGTCAGGCAGGACATGACCTGGAGACAGCTGGAGGGTGTGGAAAGAACTCTGGGCGGGAACCGGAAGACCTGACTTTGTGCTGGCATCCTTCAGTAACTGGGGGATGTCGTCACCTCTCTGAGCCTCGGTTTTCGTAGCTCTAAAAACTGGGGAACAGGAGAATGGCCTGGATAGTCCGCTTCAGCTCTAAGCTCTCTGAGTCTACAAAGTGTCAGGGGAAGGAGGACGACAGGGCACCTTGCTGGACAAACCCTCTGGGGCACCAAATGCTCCTAGGCTGTCCCCCCTTAAGGGAAGTCCCCAAGATCAGGAAGGGTTCTCAGTTTCCCAAGCACGGGCCACCTGCCCAGGCTCCCGGGGGCCCCCGGGAGCTCCCTGAGCCCCAGCCCCCAAGCCCATCCCTGCAGGCGGGCCTGGTCCTCAGTGGGAGACGCTGGATGTTGACTGTTTCCTGCAGTTCCAGTTCCCATCGTGGACGCGGCTGTAGAGTCATTGCTGTGCTGGGAGGTCAACAGAAGGCAGAGAATCATCAGAGGATGGTCCTTGCACTCTACTTTCCTCTCTGGAAAATGACGTTTCGATATAACTGGTCAGTTACCCAGGTGCAGAAGGGGGCTCCTGACCACCCGGGGACTCCCCGAGGCCCTCAGGTGTCTCCTCGGTGGGAGAGGGCCTCATGTGGGCACACGCGGGTCAGGGAGCAGCGGCACCAGGGACTTGGCCTCCCTCGGCCCTGTGACGGCAGGTCCCTCCTGGTACCAGCACAGGGGCCCGCAGGGCCTCATTGTGAGCTTCTAGCCCCGGAGAGCTCCTGGGATCTCGATGTTGGGGGCCTGGGGAGGGGGCCGTGGCAGGCGAGGGCAGCCGGGGTGTTATATCCTGGGCACCATCCTGGCCAGTGATAAGCCACAGGGCTTCCTCTCAAACAGCAGCAAGGGTGGTGGACTATTGCATATTTATGGAACACCAGCTCTGAACTGTTTCCAGGGACTGAGGGCCACAGGTCCTGTGCCGCCTGTAAATGTGACACTTCTGCACCTTTTGGCCTGACTTTACACCCAAATGTTTGCATCAAGTAAGTCCTTTCCCTGCTAATCACTTGCAAAGAAAAGCGACAGCTACTCTTTTGAAGCGGGCTGCACTTGTCACAGAGCGAGCAGGAGGGCCTGTTGGGGCCCGACCAGAGGTGGCGCCTTCTATTTCAGAGGATGTTCAGACTCGGTGAGATCTGAGCTCCGAGATGGGATTGGAATTCCTCCCCGTGAAAGACACCAATTCTGTGGAAATAGAGGCGGGAGGGGAAAGGAGTGGGGAGAGGAGAAGCAGTTGAGGTCATGATTCTGTCGCCCCCTGAGACTCTCCTCCCCTGGTTCAAGGGTTGGCGTTTCTGTGGTTCCTCTGACCTTGTTCTGTGCACACATTTGACAGAATCCCTGCCTCCCCACTGAACAATCCTAGCTCTGGCACTTACCAGCTGTAAGACCTTGGGCAAGTCAGGTAAGTTTTATGCCTCAGTTTCTTCATCTATAAAATGGGAACAATAATGGCAAGTTGTGAGGATCAAGAGTTAACACATGTAAAGCACTCAGAACAGTGCGCGGCCCATGAGCACTATTAGCCATCATGGTTATTATCGTTCCTCCCCTTCCTCAAATTCTAAGCCCCTCCACTTACTACTAAAACCCCTCTATGTATATGCACATGCACAGGTATATGAATATGCATATGTAGATGTGGATGTGCGGTATATGCACATGGTGGCAATTTGTGCACGATGCCCCTTGGCTCTCATCCAGGGGCAATTCTGCCCTTGAGCACCAGAAGGTTCTCTCTTCCTCTGCATGGGATGTATGAGGAGCACAGAGGAAAGGGGATGGCACGAGAGACCCATCAGTGACACAGCATACCCACAGAGGAGGCCAGAGTGCCCCCTCTGCTGGGAAGGAGAAGAGGGGGTACTCCCTGCCCACCGGGCCGCTTGGCCCCAACCACAGTCCTTGACCTCCTCCACCCTCATTGCTCACCTCCCATGCGACAGACGGGGGAAGCGAGGCTGTCAACTTTTGGGAAGAACGTCCTCATGCACATCCTTGAATGCCCTGGGCCAGGAGGGGCCGCTGGGGACGGATGCCTGCGTTGACCTCCCCAGCGCTCCACTTGCTGAGTGAGCGCGGGCGGCTTCCTTCACCAGGCGTGTTCTGACGTTGCATCTGGAAGGCAGCCTGACGTGGGCACCTGTCTCCTAGGGCTGTTGTGAATACATCTTCAGAGCTTAGAATAGCGCGTGGCACACAGGGAGCACTCAAAAATGATTGCGTTTTTTTGTGTGTGTGTGTGAGGAAGATCAGCCCTGAGCTAACATCCATGCAAATTCTTCTCTTTGTGCTGAGGAAGACTGGCCCTGGGCTAACATCTGTGCCCATCTTCCTCCACTTTGTATGGGACGCCGCCACAGCATGGCCTGACAAGCAGTGCATCGTTGCGTGCCCAGGATCGGAACCTGGGCCGCCAGCTGCGGAGACCGCGCACTTAACCGCTATGCCGTGGGGCCAGGCCCTGATTGCACTTATTGTTACCATCATTTTTAGAAAAGCCACACCCCGAGAATGCAATGATCAGATAGATAATAAACATAGCAGACCCTTATAGAGTGCTCACCATGCGCCCAGCTGGGCTAACCGTCTCACATGTGTTAATTCATTTAATCTCCACACTAGCCCTGTGAAGTCGACCCGATTACAGCCATGCGTCATTTAACGACGGGGACATGCTCTGAGACATGCGATTAGGCAATTTTGTTGTTGTACGAACATCACAGAGTGCACTTAACACAAACCTAGACGGTGTAGCCTATTACACCCCCAGGCTGTATGGTACTAATCTTATGGGAGCACTGTCGTATATGCAGTCCAACATGGACCGAAACGTCGTCATGTGTCGCAAGACAGTATCATCACCCATTCCTTCAGATGGGGAAACTGAGGCACTGAGAGGTTAAGGACCTTGTCAGCAGGTCAAACAGCCAGCAAGCAGCAGGCCTCATATCTGCATCCAGCCACTCCAAAACGTGTATTTGAGGAGGCTGTGGGTGACTCGCACCCCAATGTGCCCAGCGCCTGCGGCTTAGGACAGGACGCGACTCTGGGCAGCGCTGACCTCTGCTTCCCGGGTTCCTGTCCCTTGTTCCGTGTCTGGGCGTGACCTGGGCTTGAACTGAGTGCTGGTGGTGGGAGCCAGTGGCCAGGCTCACTGCGTAGAGCCCCCCAGAACGATGCCGCTGCCTGGAGGGGGTCTCCCATTGCACAGGGGTGTGATTGCAAAGACGCCTGCAGAAATTGTTGTTCCTGGGACTGTCAAAGAGCCCTGAGCTGCCGGCTTTCCTGTTCTGACAGCATCTAGCTTCCTCTGTCACTGCAGAGGACAAGCTCCCCTGAGGGACTGTGGACAGGAGTGGGAGCGGGTCTCACAGGGACTGAAGAATGAAGGGAGATGACTCAAGGGGCTTCTGTAAGTGCCCCAAACAGGGCCTGGCCGAGCAGGCAGGATGCAGAATACTTTCCCTCCTTCCTTCTCAATGAACAAACCTAGACCCAGACTAGCCTCCAGGAAAGAGAGTTTAAGAGATTTAAACAGCGTGCTAATGGGACTCTCTTTTGCACAGAATAGGCTCACTTTTACATAGAATAGGACTGGGGTAGGGCCAGGGAAATTCAACAGGCACTAAAATTATTATTGAGCTGCCAGACAGCAGCGGTCAGAGGTCCCAGGCCTGTGTGCCATCCAGACAGCCCTTTGTGCCCTTTCTAGACAGCCCCTCCTCGGGGCTCAGGGACCTGTCTGGCTGCTGAGCTCCCAGGTGGTCCGAGGGGTGTGACCTCCCTTCCTTCCTCCCTCCCACCGCCAAGGCCCAGCCCAGGGCTGGCTATAAAGCTGGCCCAGTCTGGCTCTCAGCACACCCCCTGGGACCCTCCTGCAGCGTCCTCAGGGGACACATTGCCCTGCCCCTCCTCCTCCTGAGCAGCACCATGCAGCCCCTGTGGCTCTGCTGGGCACTCTGGGTGCTGCCCCTGACCAGCCCCGGGGCGGCCCTGACCGAGGAGCAGATCCTGGGCAGCCTGCTGCAGCAGCTGCAGCTCAGCGAGGTGCCCGTCCTGGACAAGGGCGGCGTGGAGGAGCTGGTCACCCCGGCCCACGTGGGGGCCCAGTACGTGGCCCTGCTGCAGCGCAGCCACGGGGCCCACTCCCGAGGGAAGAGGTTCAGCCAGAACTTCCGAGGTGAGGCCTCCCTCCCTGCTGCACCCTGGTCCCTGGGGAGGGGGCTGAGACTGCATGTGCCCATCCTGGGAGGCTGTCTGGGGGCCCGGGGCCCACGGGACAGTGAGGAGGGACCGTGGACTGTGAGGACGGCTGGGGCTGGGCCCCTGTCTGCACTGAGGGCCCCACCCAGTGTGCAGGCTGGACCAACTGCTGAAGCCCAGGCATCGGGGAAGAGGAGGGTGGAGAAGAGAAAGCCCCCTGGCTTGGCCTCAGGGTGCCGGGGGAGAGTCCTGCTTCCCGGTTCCGTTTTCACACTGCCACCCGTAGCCTGACCTTGAGCAAACGGCTTTAAAACCACCTCCGAATCTGTTTGCTTCGCTGGAACACTGGCATGATCATGTTTGACCTATCTCCCAGTCCGTGAATATGAAAGTGTGCACAGAAACGTGCCAGGTTAACTGAAATATACTAAAGTCCAACACGGAGTTCTTCAGCTGTCAAAGATGAGCTGGCTTGAATCCTGCTCCGCCTCTCACCTCCCTGGGCCTGGGCCTCACCTCCTCATCGCCCAGAGCCAGACCCAAGGCCAGGCTCCCCCAGGGGAGGGTTCTGATCCACAGCATCTCAGCTGAGGGAGCCCTGTCCGCTCAGGGTCCCAGAGCGGCCCCTTCCTGCTGGGTGGAGACTGTTATAAAGGAGGCCCCAGACCCAAGGAGGGTTTTCAGGTAACTGGGCTTGGCCCAGAGAGACAGAATGGGCTGGTCTCTCCCGCCTGGCCACCCCCTCAGTGGCCCTGCCACCCTCAGAGCTCCCCTGGCGCCCGCAGAGGCCCCTGACCCGCTCGTGTCCCCAGAGGTGGCCGGCCGGCTCCTGGCGTCCGAGGCCTCCCGGCACCTGCTGGTGTTCGGCCTGGAGCAGCGGCTGCCGCCCGACCGCGAGCTGGTTGGGGCCGCGCTG